TCACAAAGCTGGATTCTTACTGAATACCAGGAGTTTTAGTTCTGGCTTAACAGGCACAAGAAATGGGCTGAGCCTCAGTCTCCTCAACTAAAGAGCTGCTCAAACCACCACTCATTTCCCATTAACATTTTACTAATTATTATTATTATTATTATTATTATTATTATTATTATTATTATTATTATTATTATCTTTGCCCATGGAAAAATATCAACTTGAAGATCCCTTTGAAATTCTGAGGGGAAAAGGGACAAAATCTCAGGGAAAAAAAAGTTATGGAATTACTCCCTCCAAGCTGAAATCTCTTGTTAGAACCACAGGAACAGATTGGGAATTTCAGTGGGATACAATTACCCCATTAATTAAATATTTGCCAATTTTTTTCCCATTTTTTTCCTTAATTTTTTCAAGGGAAGAGCCCAAGAGAAGCTAAACCCCATTTCCAGGGAATAAATTCCCTCTGCTATTCCCAGAGTCACTCACTTGCCAGCTGGAGTTTTTGGGGTGGGCAGGGCCTCTCTCCTCTGGCGTTCCAGCAGAGCCTCCACCTCGCTCTGCACATCCACCCCGTTCTTGTCATCCAGCTTGAAAACCTGAGCGAAAAACCAGGAATTTCAGCCAATTCCAACATCCACGTGCTGCCCAACAAAGCATTATTTGATTCGTTAATTAGTCTGATTAGGCTGGTATTAATTTATTAATACCACGCCCCTCATTGGCACTCGACCCAGCAAGATCTGACAGAAACAATTTGCAAAATAACGTTTTAGGAAAGCTTCCAAGGATGAGAATTCCAGGATTATTTCAGTGTATTTTAGGCACCACAAGTGCAAGCCTTTGGAAAAATATCCCTGATTTCATGAGCAGACAATTCACTTTTGGTTTTATGGGAAATATTGAAATGAAGTGGAATAACATGGAAATATGGAGCAGCAAACCAGTGTTTTCCACTCTTTCCAGGGGAAAAAAGCCATGGAATGGCTTCCTCCATGTTGAAATCACCTGTTAGAACAGCAGGAATAAATTGGGAATTTCAATGGGATACCACCACCTAATTAATTAAATGTATGCTTATTAATCACCCATCCTAACGAGGAAGGGAACACCTTGGTCATCAATACTGACACATTCCTGCCTGGATTCCTTCCCATGTGTTTTTAACAGATTTTTCCCAGGATGGGCTCAGGCAATAAGCACCAAACCACTGAATGCTTTAAAAGCATTCCCAGAAATCCAAACCCTTTTGGAACAAGGACCCTGCTGTGGGGTTTTTTCCCTCATCCAAGCCCTCCAGGGGCAGGTTTGGAGCAGGAATCCATGGATTTGGGGCTGTGGGGAGGCACTCACGAATCTCTTGGCCTGGAAGGGGCCGATGCTGTTGAAGATCATGGCCAGGCAGCGGGGCAGGAGCCCCCCGTCCCCAGGGGATCCTGTCATGGTGTGGGTCTTCCCACTGCCCGTCACCCCATAGGTGAACAGCAGACCTGGGGATGCAGGGAAAAGGGAGAAATCAACGGGATTGGG